AAAACCTCTCAGTCCAAATTGACCAATTGTTGTTTGTGTAGAAAATACCCTGACATAAAAGACGACCAAGTTAAGACAATTAAAGCTGATTCATCATCATGTATAATAGTCGTAAATACACCCACCCCTAAATATATACATGTGCCCACTCTCCAACGTCTCACTCGCTCAATAGAATATAACCAAACTTGGCAGAAATCATCATGGCGCGAATGGATTTCAAATCTGTACAAAAGATACCGATTAGCCATCTAATGTATTCCCCTTTTCTACATGAAAAAATGGAACTCCTCCCGTCACCACTGGACCAAAATTTGAAACGTATCATGCAATCAAGAACTTTTCCATCTGACCAAACGATGCCATTCTGCTGTCAGATGTGGCTGCTGTTAATTAAACTAGAAAGACATAGGAAATGTTATTCAGAATAACTCAACAACTGCTCAAATGAATTTGATCAAACAAGAATAACATTGACAGATCTTATCTATAAAAAATAACAACAAAGCATCGATCAACAGAATTTAACCAACTTTGACGCAAATCATCATGGCATAAAGTCTTTCAAAATGCCAGCAAATAAAGATGATACAAAATACAGAAAATTTGTTTTTATAAACAGAAGAGAAAGAAATTTCTAAAGAAGGATTATTACTGACCGACACGTATCGACCAACTGATTTTGCATTTATTTATCAGTCAGGTGAGCGATCTCCACCCAACTTGGTTCTCTTGTTTAAAACCATATTAAAAAGAAAGCAAAGAATATGTCAGGTGATATGAGGAGTAAATATTTAGCTGAATGAGTCAATATTGTTCTGACCATGTACAAATTATTGCACAAATAATACATATAAATATCACAGATGTTATTTCTAGCTGTCTGTTTCTCCGGTTACTCAGCGAAGTTTTTATTGTGCTGATGTGCCATTAAACACCAAAGCCCATAGTCGATAACAAGATATTAGTAACTTGTCAGCTAGGTTAATAGAAAATAATCTGGAGCTCGTGGAATCAGCTGTTAGAAAGATTGTCTCGTTTAGTCTACCAATGCCATTCTAATAAATATGGATAACACTTACTCTGACTTTTCCAAGTATGTTTGCTACAGGACTTCATTTTCATATTGGAAAAATTTAAGATAAGGAACCTTTTTAAATACTGCCATTGGTTCATTAAAAAACGATGATGCAGCAAAAGCAATTATATTAGCAGTATTTTAAGAGAATTGGATATTTCTGTCAACAGACATAGGTCGAAATAATAAAACTATGGTAAGAGACTTTTGCAATTATGTTTTGATCTTCACATTACAAATGGTTATTTTAGGAAAACATAAAATTGTTTGTGCAACAACGTGTGCATACATTCAATTAATGATGAAGTTATCATGTTTCCTATTTCATTATCTACTGTAGCAGCTGCCGAAGTGTTATCATTCGATCCTCTCCTGGGTACATTTATAATTCTGCCTTTTTGAAATTTGATTCTTCTGTGAGTTTTAATGGTATTACTGATGTTAATCAAACTGGCGATGCCACTGATAAAGGCATATGATTTTCCACAAATAGCCCCCTTTTACGAGTGCTATAATAATGACAGTAACGTTGATCTCACATAAAGGCTCAATGATACAGATCTTTGTACTATTGATGATATTAGGTTAAGTAACAGAGATAGGAATGCACGTATGGACATGCTAATATTCCAATACGGCGCACATTAAGACTACAAAGCCGGAAGCTGCTATAACACTGCGAGAAAAAAAAATATTTATTTTTATAAATTTGTATCGTCAGAAATAAACGGAATTGAAAAGCAAACATACTTTTAGAAAATAAGCAGCACCAAAAATACTTTATTCTTTTTAATACACCCACACATTTATCCGAATTACAAAAGACAATCACACTGTACAAGTGTATATAGATCCAGGTCTTCTTACGATTCTGTTGCATAATATAACAAATATCAATTCCAATTAATTCAGATTTTGCACAACTTTACCGCATTTTCTTCAGGAAGCACAAGGGCGTTGTCTCTTGTGGCGTTTTCACATTGAATATTTACTTGGCTAAACATGAGATTTAGTATAATCCAAAGTAACATACAGAAGAAAAACAACAGATTTAGGCAAATGACACATCATTCGTTCCATATCACCACACTTCAAAGCTAAACAACGGAAATAGGCAAATGACACATCATTAATTCCATATCACCACTTTTTCAAAGCTAAACCTATTATGGTAGGGCCTAATCTTGCATATGATTTAAAACTATAAAAAAAGGGATTCATATTTTCATCTCCAGTTAGTGTATATATGATTATATGGCAGAATCTGGATAATTTCCAAGTTATGAGCCAAGAGCAAGTCCTCTACTCCAGGGGCATGCCCCTGGACATGTATTGTATGTACAATTACATTCATTCCGTCCATTAAATGTATACACGGTTGTATCGAGGAGATTTTAACAACTTCTACGTCAAGCGATAGTTAAGAATCCAAATCCTGGGGTCTGTGCATAATCTGTCTTATTGTGCTTCATGCCCTCCAAATCTGCATCTAGTTGTGGTCAGTGGATCGTCACAGTATACTAATTATGACCCAGGAGCAATTCGTCTTTTTCTGGGTCAGTATTGGATATATACCTGATTTTGTCTCATGGCCTCCAATTCAGCATATGGTTAGAAGGTAGAAATCTAAACTATTTCCAAATTAGGACACAGGAGAAATTTCCAATCTATGCAGCATGATTTATGATTGGTATTGGATCTATGTCTGATCTCCTTTCCACATCCGTTTAACCTATATATGGGAAAAGGGTGGGAATTTCACCAGTTTCTAACTTAGGATCCAGAGGCAGCATTCCTATAGGCTCTGTGGCAAGATTAGCGGGTGTAACCCAAAAACCCATAATCTATGTTACAGACCTTATCTTGATATTGAAACAAATCATCCTTCGCATTTCCGACTACAAAATAGAAAACGTAAAGACTCTTTTAAAAAATATCCACATTTCGTGGTCACCACCCATCCTCCTCGTATCCTATTCCAAAGATTCAGGCCTGTATCTTCAGTGGTGTGGGATAAATACTAAATTGCTAACAGAAGAACAGACAGCCTATGAGCGGAGAGAAATAAGTATGAAGATTTAATTTCCACTTTAAAAAATGCACAGAGATAAAAGTGATATTCATTTATTTGTTCTTATTTCAACATTATGACTTTCGATAATAATTATTGTCAAAATTAAAATAAATATTTAAAAATATTAGAGAAAAAGTTAGACTTATTGACAAAGTACAATTTCAATGAAACAACTTGTTAGTGACACGTGAGATGCAGAATATATATATATATATATATATATATATATATATATATATATATATATATATATATATATATATATATATATATATATATATATTCTGACAACGAAGAGTGGAAAACGTGTATCTTGATGTGTTTTTTTTTCAAAGGCAAATACAAAACATAGACAAGACATACAAAACCGTTGTGCTTGCAAACCTTTACATGGTTGTTTCTACGGGATTTAAACCTTTTTTATTTTTGTTTCAGCTAGTTTATTTCATCTTGTTGCGGATGCTGGAAAATACAAAACAAAATCCCATTTGACTCTCTTGTATTGGCTGCTAGCTTTATGTTTATGTTTTTCTTCATCTTCGTTGTCAATCTCATTCCGTCTCTTCAGCTGGTTTGTCCACCCGTTTCTTCTTCTTGGATGTAGTATTTCGTCACACTTACGTTTACATGGAGTCAGTCGCTTAGACGTAATTGTTTTAATATGTGCGTAGATCTTCAGTTCGCTGTTAATACAACTAAATAACAACGTCGTTGCTTTTCAAATCTCAATTTTTGTCTTTTATTATCTGTGTAAGCCCGAATGTTTTACATTTACTTTATGGGTCAGATTTTTTTTTCTTAAGGACTCCAACTTCCTACGGTCTTTATTTCTTCATAATATAAAGTAGTGCTCCTGTATTGTTTAGATATATTTAAAACGAAATATCAAATTTCACTTTCATTTTGATTTCAATTATTATAGATACAGAGAATGATGGCAATGGAGAAATCCATGTTTCCTGTCTTTCAAGTTAACCTCGAGTTTCAATTTAAAAGCAGTAGCAATCCAATTAAAATACATAAATGTAGATTTAATATTAATGCGTACTGCATACACATTCTGTACAATGCTTTACCTATAACCGTTGTACACATTTTCTAAGCAAATTAAAACTTCCTCTTTAGCTTCTCCATACAAAACAAATTGATTTGATCTTAAACTAGATTACTTCATTGCATTCTAACATCCTTTGCAAATTTAAGGATACATTTATTTCTATTGTTGAGGGAAAAAGTTGTTGTTACAAAACATGAAGCATTAATTTTCTAACCCCTTCAACAAATCCACCTTACGATCTTACACTGCACTGTAAACATGACTTTGCATAACGAGAGGCCAATGTGGGCCGAAGATTGCCAGATTGTCTGACATCTACCTAAACACCAAATGCATGAGCAGCTGGCCAAGAAATCTGGATTATTAAAATGTTTGCTCTGAGATCAATTGCTTTGCCCCTTTTCTGTTTCTATAACACGAAAGCATAATGGACGGCAGACCAACATCATTTGTATAAACTTGAAAGGCCTTATCTCATAATGCTTGTTGTGAAAATTGGTCAAATTCTTTTTGCTCGGCTTTTGAGAAGTCGTTTGAATGGCTTGTAATAATGTGATGTGATTATGATTTTTATGGTAGCTTTAACAAATTTTCAGTCATATCGCTACGATGTCTGCAGTGTTAAGTTTATAGTGATTTCTAGCATTCGGGCATCATGCCGCAGACATGTAGCATGATATCCCACTCATTCGCATTATCCTGACACCAGGCCGACCAGTATTAACACTAATCTGTTAATGCTGAGCGCCAAGCGAGGCAGCTGTTAATACCATTTTTGTAATTCTTTGGCATGACTCGCAAGAGGATCGAATCCACGACCTCCTGCATCCGAGGCGGACGCTTTAACCACTAGGCCACCGGAATGAAATCATTTCTGCAATACTCAAAGACTGAGATGCCATGCTTTGTAACACATTTGGTCAAATTTTTTTCGCAAGAAATTGAGGTTTTGTTTTATGATTGTCCTAGTTACCAATTTGTTTTATTTTTATTTATTTTTTTTTAAAAACGTTTTATTAATAATAAGGCATTTTATATATCAAGCTTTTAGATACTGTTAAGTAAAGGGACTGATATTATGAGCTTAGGAGGAAAATATTTGTCAGATAGGTTACCTTCCTAGGTGTAATTTGACATCTTTGATGTAGTTCTTAAAAATAGTTCTTTCAACAGAAAATGATCATCCGTTGTCATTGCTTACATATTATTATCTACTTTTTTAGTTTTAAATAAATTCTTTGTTATGATATATGATTAAGATGACATACATTAAGATGGATGTTGTGAGAAAGCTTGCCAGTAGCTTCTCGTGGGTCGGTGGTTCTTTCCAGTGATTACCCGGTTTCTTCCTCAGCCATTAATACTGGCCGCCATGAATAGCCTATCGTGTGCTGCAAAATGGCGTTAAGCCCAACAACAAGAAGATGGATGTTGGTATCGGGTTATGGTCATATAAAATGAATATGGTTATCGACATTACAAATTTTAAAATTTATCCTGTTGATTCCGTTTAATGTACTATTACCTGAACCCTTCAAGAAATCTGGATTCTCCATAGGGGCACTCTACATATACAATAAATATCTGAAAAAGTGACAGGTGTAAGGTTAAGTTGTCTGCATTTGTAACAGCATAAAGCAAAGAATGTGGCATACATCTACTTTCATGTACATTGGTTGAAATTTCATTAGATATTGTACTTGTCGAACATGATATAAGCACAAATATAATCAAAATGGCTGTTTCAGTGTGCTCAAAAACTCAGTTTTAGTCAGCCTCAATTACACTGTCTATTGCAGTGAAAGGAATGAATTACATAATAATAAAATTAATAATAACAACCATAACAAAAAGTTATCACCTCTTCCTGTTTACTATTCAGCTCTGAAATTCAGGAATTGAAAATGATCAAGCAGAGTTTTGATAGATGTAAATCTACTTAAGACATGCTGTACACTTAAACCCAAATTGCACCTTACCAATCATACACCAAAAAAACAAAAAAAAAAAAACAAAATTAAAAGAAATTAAAAGCTCTTATAAAAATACGTAGTAAATACAAGATCCTTTTTAATTAACCAGTATAACCAAAGAGAAAGACCTGGGAAATTATTTGTCTTTAAAATGATAACCCTATGCAAAAACAAATTGTATAGTGTCACCAAGAGTTTGATTTTAGAACTGGGCCAAAAGTTACCATTAACAATTGGATAGTCATGGATTCCACCTTGATGGGAAGGTAAATTAAGAACAGAACATTCCCAAAAATATGTAGATAACTGAATGTATTTAGCAATTGGAAGATTATCTTTATTTTACGATACAATGCTTATTTTACCATGTCATATTACAATGACCAGTTTGTTGCTTTATATCGTCTGCATGTATTCATTGCTGAATTTTATAATAGGGGTTGTTAGGAACATGCCTTTCCAACTTTCCAGGACTATCCCAATGCTAACGGCAACTTCTTAAGATTCGAAATCGTCCAACAAGTGTAGAATTTTCTCCAATCTGACATGAGCTGAGCGAGGTAAAATTAAGATGTTTCGAAAAGTGGTCCAGGTGATAAAAATAGAACAATCCAGCAGGGTTGGACATACCAAAGGGTGAAAAGACTATTGTATTCCCCTGTGTTATAGCTACAAGTTGCCCATGATTAATATTCATTGATCAATACACTTAATTTATTTTGAAATGAGCCCCTGTACTCAGCATGATGCATTTATGAAACTATGTTACAACGACTTGTTCCATATTGGCGGTTTTGCTCATTCACTCTTTTCAGCATCAAGCAGTGTACATAAGTATTCTGTAATTCACATGCTGGTGGTTGAATCTGGGGCAGCATTAATTTACCAGCCATAGTTTGAATTTGGGAATGTTTCATTTACCGGCAAAAGTTTGAATTAGGGGCATTCATTTACCACATGGTGCGGATAGGTAAATATGTCGCAACGCTTGCTTGGCTAGCCACGTTCTAACCAGGTTTATCACCACAATGAACTTGGCCAAGCTGATCAACAGGATTGTTGATGACGGTTATGAAAACAAGCTTGGGAAGTTTTAAAGATCGACCTGGAAAACTGCAGAAATCTAACGCAAACATCAAAGATATTGTTTTGAAGCTGCAAGGCGCTGTCGCTGAAAACATAGTCAAAATAACTGAGATCTGGAGAATAAGAAACTCTGGCATGTCGGTTTTTTTCATCAGTCTCTGATACAAATAAGAAACCAAAGTTAAAATATCCTGCTTTGAAATGACCAGGGATATAATCACGAATAGAAACAATTCAATGTATGCACGAGCTCATTGACGATACTGATGACGCATCATAACAAGTGGATGGGAAAACCTATCAGAAACTTCCTGATTTCTGCTGAAATTATGTGACGCATACACTGACTGATGATGGGAGCCTTAAATGAGCTACTGGTTGGCAACATTAAAATTAACACGCACCACTATGAAGCATCCTGATTATTCACAAGACCTTAGTCTGCCAGATACAGAAATTGCCTCAGGCGTTCGGTTTCTAGGAATCCGGAGTTGACTGAGAAACTATGGTGCTTGAAACCGAATGTTGTTAAAACTGGATATTATTTCTTAAGTGTGTATGCGTCCGTTAACAAATGAGACAGAGACAGAGGATCTCAAACGGGTAATGATTAAATATTGAATTTATGAAACAAGTTGAAAAATTTCCAGCTTTTGCGAGCCAATGCTTGCAAAAGCTGGAGATTCAACTAGTTTCATAAATTTATCATTATATGGTTACACATTTGAGATTCATTTTATCAGTTTTAATTTCAGAGGAAATCATTTAAATAATAATTTCGAATAATTTCGTTTATTCTCACAGACGGTACACCTTTCATTTGCCATCCCATTCTTAACCAAATATAGTAAGAGAAGTCTGTGAAGCCTAAAATATGGACCATAATAACTGCTAATAAAATGCTCATCAAGATTCGTCCCCTCATCAAGTTTCAAAATTCTACCAGGGAACAAAGCATGTAAAACAACTATGTGGTGATAAGCTCAATGCAAAAACTTAAACTAAGCCAATAAAATATGAACTGTTGGTCAAAGTGGCTTTTTTTGCATGTGTGCGTTACTAAGCGAGATGAAATGCATTCATCAACCTCGATGACTGAAGCATGAACAATAAATACAGAATTTAACCAAATTCACTTATGTGTTAAATATGAATCAAAAAGACAAATTTTTAAGATGAAGAGTGTAGAACAAGATGCATAATCTAGCTTTAATGATTCCAGCTGGCCAACACATAGCTAGTCATAAGCTAGACACACAAAATCTTAACTTATGAAGAAAGCAAAATGTGAAACATTGGTCAGTCACCTTTTTTTGTAAGGATATTAACAAAGATGCAAACATCCATTTAGTTTGCAGATTCTGGCATCAGCAGTGTTTGAGACTGAACCCAAGTCTGTGAAGCATGACATATGTGTAACAATGCCCTATATGTATAAGGAATTAGTACTCCTCCTCACTGTTTTATGGATAATAGTATGTACACAAGGTGCCAAAAACCTATTACATTATGAGTTATTTACATCAACTTAAAACCTGTCATTAGGGTGTGTGCGAAGATAGATGCATACAACTTTCAAGTTTGAAGAATCTTGCATCAACAGAGCTTGAGAAATAAATTCAAAACAAACATGCACCAAGGTCAGCGAAAGACGAGTCAGTGACCTACTTTTGTAATAAGAGTTTAGTTCAAATACATTTAATTTTGCATGACAGATTTTCCACATGGACATTTCCATGCTGATATCGTTCATTTTTATTTTCAGGGAGAATGTGAATTCTAAACACTTTTTAACATTTTCTTTATGCACAACTGGCCTAAATTATGTATTTAGCATGAAATAAACACATGTCCTTCATGTTTTGTGAATGAATTTCATCATTTACCTGCCTTTAGAATGAAGATGTAATGAAGTGTTTTGTTCTTCAAATTATTAAAGTTTGATGGACCAATTTATGGTAGTCTCTCTTTATTAAAACAAAATCCATTTACCAACATGTCAATAGGAAAATATTTCTTATTGTAGTTTCCTTGTGGGTAAAAAGATTTTGCTGTTTGATGTTACAATATACAATAATGTCACATAATTGCTGAAATTTCCAGGAATCAACAGCATTTTGAAGATTAAACTTATATGACAAGTAAATTCATATTTATTCTTAGTGCTACATTTCAATTAAAAAGTTTAGCAATTGTATATCACAACCTGGAATATGAAATACTTACCCTTTCCAACATCCATTATAGTATGTGATAGGTGATAGTGAAGTTACAATCTGACCATAAATATTTAATGTTACTTTCTGGCATGTTACAGGACTAATATGGGTGTAGTACTTGTCAAGATCAATCTACTCAGCAAGCTGCACAATAGTATGTATACATGGTGTAAACAAAATCTATTTGGTCATGAAATTAATGCAAAATTATTTTAAATTATGCCAGTAAAATATGAATTGTAGGTCAATGTGACCTTCAACTGTTGGTAATCAGGGTGCTAACACTAACAGAGATCCAATACTCATTTGATGATTTTAGTAATAACTGAGCTTGGTACATAAATTTAAAAAAAAAACATTTAAGGAGGCAATGAAATGTGAAAAGTGGGTGACACTGACCCACATTATATGAGTGCAGAAAGCATCTAGATGCATCTCCTTATCAAGTTTAGCTCAAAAATGTGAATCGTGTATCAGAGGTGGCTTCTTTTATTTTAAGAGTGTAGTCAAGATGCATCTATGTACTGGGTGTTGTGAATCAAGGTAGAACAATATTTACACACAAGGGGTAGATATTATGAAGCTAACTTTA